CCTTTAGGCAAGGCAGGACCCCGGGCTGCGACGGTCTCCCAGCGGAGCTCTATGTAGCGCTGTGGGACCTCGTGGGCCCGGACCTGCTCGAGCTGTACGAGGAGATGGTGGTGGAGGGCAAGATGCCTCCTTCGTTGAGGGAGGGGATGATCACGATCCTGTACAAGCGTAAGGGGGAGAGATGTGATTTGAAAAATTGGCGTCCCATCTCTCTCCTGAACGTGGACTACAAGATCCTCGCCAAAGTCATGGCGAACAGGCTGAAGGCTGTCATCGGACAGATCATCAACCCGGATCAGACTTGTGGCATTCCTGGCCGCAGGATCGCGGACAGCCTAGCGCTTGTCCGGGACACGGTCCAATACATCAAGGACCGCCGTGTGCACGCGGCCCTGGTCAGTCTTGATCAGGAAAAGGCCTTTGACCGTGTCTCCCATGGGTTTATGTGCAGAGCCCTGCGCAGGTTTGGTCTCGGGGAAATGTTTTGTTCATATGTTGACATCATGTATAATGACATTTGTAGTTCCGTGCAGGTGAACGGCTGGAAGACTGACCCCTTCCCGGTCCTCTCCGGGGTCAGACAAGGCTGTCCTCTCTCACCTCTGCTTTTTGTTTGCTGTATAGAGCTCTTCGCCAAATGCATCAGACGGAATCCAGAGATCGGGGGAATCACCGCACCGGGACCAGACAGACGGGAAGTGAAGTGCTCGCTCTACATGGACGACGTGACGGTGTTCTGTGCCAACCAGCGCTCCATCGACCTGCTCGTCCAGACCTGCGAGGACTTCGGCCAAGCTTCGGGGGCAAAGGTCAACTGCGGGAAGTCGGAAGTCATGCTCTTCGGAAAGTGGTTCCTGCCTTCTTCTGCATCCATGCCCTTTGGCATCAAGACGGACTTCATGAAGATTTTGGGAGTTTGGTTTGGTGCCGAGGGCGCAGCCCTGAAGTCTTGGGAGGAGAGACTGGCCAAGATGCGCCAAAAGTTTGGACTCTGGAGCCTCAGAGACCTCACCATCGAAGGGAAGACACTGGTGCTCCGCAGCGAGATTCTCCCTGTGTTGCAGTACCTCGCCCAGGCCTGGCCCCTCTCGGGTCAACACCTGCAAGGCCATCACCAGGGCGGTGTTTCACTTCATCTGGGGCTCCAAGATGGACAGAGTGAAGCGGGCAGTCATGTTCAAGGAACCCCTCAAGGGCGGTAAGGGCGTGCCCGACATCGCCACCCAGCTGAGGGTGTTCTTTGCTTGCAACTGCATCCGCAGAACTTTGCCAAGACGGACTATGGACTCTGGCGGGAACGCAATGTCTCGCTTCTTCCTGTTGCCTCTCTGGAGGTCCCTGGGGTGGGACACTTGGGATAGTTCCATCCCCTACAACTGGGACACTCCTTGGTACTACTTGGACACCTTCAAGTTCATCAGGGAGCAAGGGCTGCAGGGAGTCAAGCCTGACTTGTGGAAGCCAAAGACTATCTACAAGCTCATCCGAGCCAGCGACATTTTGGAGTCGGTTCCAGGCCTGCCTTCAGACACCTGCAAGGTGGTCTGGAGGAATGTTTCTTCCAACATTCTTACCAACAGGCACAAAGACCTGGCATGGATGGCAATCCAAGGGGGGTTGCCTCTCAGGACATTTATGCATGCCAGGAACCTGAGCAGATACAGACACTGCCCCTTCTGCATCATCCATGAGGAAACGTCTTACCACGTTTTCTGGGAGTGCTCATTTGCTCAGGCCCTGTTGGGGGCCCTGGAACCTGAACTCAAGGACTTTGTGTCACAGACAGCCATCACTCACTTCGGGGTGTTGAATGGACTGTTCTGCGGAACCTTTTCTCTGGAGGACATTGACGGCGCCTGGCGGGTGCTGTGCTGTTTTAAGGACGCTTTATGGTGCGCCAGAAAGCGCCTCATCCACCAGCGGGAGAGGATGTCCATTGAGGACTGCCGCAGACTGATCCTCAGTCTGCTCAGAGACTATTCCTTGATGGACTTTAAGGAGGAAGAGGACATCTGAAGATTTCCCCCTTCCCCCTACTCCCCCTTGCGTGTCTTTGTCTTTTCAATAAAGCTGCGGGCCTGTGTTTCCCCCTTTCCTCCCCTTCCCCCCCCCGCACACCCGATGCCTATTGTGAATCGTGATTTTCAGTTTATCGTTTTTCTGCATGACATAGTGACTAGGAAATGTATATTGTATTAGAATGCTACAGTTTTTGGGGTAAGCTGCGTCATGCAGGACGTGGTGGTCCGGGGGATTCATCCTCCGCGCACATCACGTCAGGCATCATACCGCTGAGCGAATGTATTTATTTCTGAATGTATTTATCGTATGCTTGGAACTGTATTGCAATGTGGTGCGCTGCGTCGCAGTACAGGGTGAGATGTACCCCGATTACAAGTAACATGTTGTTTTTGATGCTTCTGCAATAAAAGTATCTTTTCAATCAAAAAAACCTGTACACTCAGCATGCTGATCTCTGATAAGACCTGGACACAAGGGTAAAGGCTTCTTCCTTCCTGAGGCCCTTTGAAGCCTCGAGACTCTGGAACCCAATCTGGGAATAACAAAACCCAGAGAAAGCTGTAAAACTACCTTTTTCTGCTCAGCATGAACATTCTAGAGCCCCTCATTCCTCATTCATGAGAACCCTATGTGTGTTTTACCTTTATTTACACAGAGGTAGGGCCTAGCACTGTTACAATATATATTTACACACACACACATTCATTATATCGCCAAACGTATTGGAACGCCTGCCTTTACACGCACATTAACTTTTTTGGCATCCCAGTCTTAGTCTGTAGGGTTAACCACTTCCTGTCCGGACACTTTTACCCCTTCCTGTCCAGGGCAATTTTTAGCTTTCAGCGCTATCACACTTTGAATGACAATTGCGCGGTCATGCAATACTGTACCCATATGAATTTTTTACCATTTTTTTGAGACAGATAAAGCTTTATTTTGGTGGTATTTATTCACCGCTGGGATTTTTATTTTTTTTACTATGTAAATGAAAAAGTTCAAAAATTTTGAAAAAAAGTGTTTTTTTAATAAAATTTTGCAAATAAATAATATTTCATCATAAATCTTAGCCAAAAATTATTCCGTTATTGTTTTAGTAAAAAAAAAAATCCAAATTAGTTTATAACCAAAAATTATAATTTTTAAACATTTTTTTTTACATTTTATTTTATTTTTTTTATATTATTATTTTTTTATTTTTTTTTACATACTGTCACCCTAGCAGTACACTGTCACCATGGTGACACTGTACTACTTGTGGAGGGTGATGAAGATTTTTTTTTTTTTTTTTTAGACTGATTGCTTTTACACCCATATAGGATGTAAAAGCAATCATTTCTCTTTCTCTCTGTCTGCATTCCTGCAGTCATTGAGAATTACTGAGTGAGCTGTGAGTGGTCACAGCTTGTCACATGGTACAAGGCTGTTGTGAATAGCCTTGTACCATGTGACCTCTGTGATCATTCACAGATTTCACACATAGTAAGCAATGTCACAAGTGACATCTTGCTTACTACTTTGCATGTGATCACTGATTCGCCAATCAGTGATCACATGATCGGGACCTCGTACAGAGGTCCTGTCCGACGATTGGTGTTTCACTGTGTCCGGAGGACACAGCGGGTACCAGATCGCGGTGGTGCGCGCTCCCAGGGAGCGCGCACAGCTAGAAAAGGCGGGTGCCGTTTATGGACGGCAACCCGACCCTGGACTGCCACCGCCCTGCCGTTTATAAACAGCAGGCGGACGGCAAGAGGTTAAATATTTGACCAACACTTTGCAGCTATAACAGCTTCAACTCTTCTGGGAAGGCTAGCCAAAAGGTTTAGGAGTGTGTCTATGGGAATGTTTGATCATTCTTCCAGAAGCACATTTGTCAGGTCAGGCACTGATGTCAGACAAGAAGGCCTGGCTCACAGTCTACACTCTAATCCATCCCAAAGGTTTTCTGTTGGGTTTAGGCCAGGACTCTGTGCAGGCCAGTCAAGTTCCTCCACCCCAAACTCACTCATCTATGTCTTTATGGACCTTGCTTTGTGCACTAATCATATGCAGTCATATTGGAACAGGAAGGGGCCATCCCCAAACTGTTTCCACAAAGTTGGCAGCATGAAATTGTCCAAAATGTCTTGGTATGCTGATGCCACACCATAATCCCCCCTCCACCAAACTTTACACTTGGCAAAATGCAGTCAGGAAAGTACTGTTCTCCTGCAAACCACCAATCCAGACATGTCCATCGAATTGCCGGACACAGAAGCATGATTTGTCACTCTGGGAGAACATGTGTCCACTGCTCTAGAGTCCAGTGATGGCATGCTTTACACCACTGCATCTGATGCTTTGCATTGCACTTGGTGGTGTAAGTGTCATGTACATGGTCAGAGGCCAGAGTGCTGCCCCTGCGGCTGAGTGCAGAACACCCGTGAAGGTAGGAATAGGGGATGCTTGGCCCAGAGAAGCATGGGTTGCCAGCTGTCTGGAGCCTGAAGAGCAAGGATGAGGAGATGCAGAGCTGATGTTCCCCACACATGGCAGGCAGAACTTGGCAGCAAGTATATGTTCCTCAGAAGTGGCAGGCAGAACTTGGCAGCAGGTTTATGTTCCCCAGACGTGGCAGGCAGAACTTGGCAGTAGGTATATGTTCCCCTGACATGGCAGGTGAAACTTGGCAGGAGGCAGAACTTGGCAGTAAGCAGGGATCAAAGTCAAAGGCATGCCAGAGGTCAAATACAAGAGATCAATCAGAAGCTGAAGCAAGAAGCAGAAGCAAGGTCAGGAGCAGGCCGAGGGTCAAACACAAGAGATCATGCAGGAATGAGGTCAGGAGAATGAGCCAAGATCATACACAGGTGATCAGGCAGCAACAGAGTCAGCAGAACAAGCCAGGAGTCAGAGCCAGGAACGCGCAACCTGCGGCCATGCAGGGTATTGATGACAGTGCCCATCTTTTTTCGCTTGATCCTCTGACAGTAAGGCTTGAATGCAGCTGCTCGACCATGGAAACCCATTCCATGAAGCTCTCTGTGCACTATTGTTGTGCTAATCTGAAGGTCACTCAAAGTTTGGAGGTCTTTAGCTATTGACTCTGCAGACAGTTGGAGACTTCTGCGCACTCTCCGCTCTGTCATTTTACGTGGCCTACCACTTCATGGCTGAGTTGCTGTTGTTCCCAGTTGCTTTCACTTTGTCATAATACCACTAAACAGTTGACTGGAATATTTAGTAGCAAGGAAATTTCACGGATGAACTTATTGCACAGGTGGCAACCTATCCCAGTACCATGCTTTAATTTACTGAGCTCTTGAGAGTGATCCATTTTTTCACAAATGTATGTAGAAGCAGTCTGCATGCCTAGGTGCTTGATTTTATACACCTGTGGCCATGGAGGTGATTGGAACACTTGAATCCAATGACTTGTAGGGGTGTCCCAATACTTTTATAAATAAATTTATATATTATTTATATATATATATATATATATATATATATATATATATATATAGATCTGCTGCCCCTACTGTCTGTCAGTGACTGTACTGCCTAATGTTCACAGAGATTATTTATATACATCATTTCCTGTCTCTGTGGGGGGGGGGGGGGGGAGAGGGGATTTACTAAAACTGGAGAATAGTGCAAAATCTGGTGCAGCTGTGCATGGTTGAGTTTTTACAATAACACCTGGAAGCGGATTGCTTTCTATGAAGAGCTGCACCAGATTTTGCACTCTCCAGCTTTAATGAATCAACCCCTGTGTGTCTGGATGGACATGGTCAGAGGGAGGACGTATATAGAGAGTCAAATACCACATGGCCTGCTATGGAGAAGCTGCTACTAGCCCAGGCCAGAACAAGAGATTATTAGGCAGGTGTTCCTAGGTTTAATAGTTTACTTTTGTTTCCCATAGCTTCTGGATTAGTATACTGAGTTGAAGTGCCACACCATGGTTTCTGCTGGTGTAATTCATTTCCCAAGAAGAGAATCCCCTCTATTTACAAAGGCCCTGTCCAGAGTGGAGGCACTGCCAGCTTTTTTTTAATCAAACTCACTCTTTCACTTAGTGAAGGTTCTGGTTCTGTTATCTACCTACAGGTTTAACAGTTTAGCACAATATCTTGTTTGGGGAGGGCCATCTCTCATACCCCCCTCAATAAAGATTGCTACATATATATATATATATATATATATATATACAGTTTTAAATGCTATAACTATACTTTAATTCATCCACTGTACAATTATGGAAAAACATTTGTCAGTAATTCCCATAAAGTATTATTATTGTTTATTTATAAAGTGCCTTTACATCTGTGGCACCATAAAAAGTAATAGCTAAAACAGGAAGGAAGGGTAGGGTATGATATATTAGACATAAAATATCACAAAGACAAGTACATGCATCTGTTTGGCAAAATATAGCAATAAAGAAAAATTAGTAGAGAAGACTTTGCCCATACGACTTTATAGCCTGGAGGATCAGTAGTGTCCTTTGCAGAAATAATTGCTTCTCATTAATCACCAATTGTTTTTGCTGGCTGCTTATCAGCAGTTTGCAGCAAGATAGGAATAAGTGTTATGGTGTATTTTAGAACCAAGGTTGGGATAGAGTTAGGCTCAGTTTGGGGATTAGGTAAAATTTTACAGGGGATTAAGTGTTAGGAGCTTGCTTTAAAGGTTAAGTGTACACCAAAAAACCTTTATCTAAGTACCTTGGACGTGCATCTTATGTCTAATGTAACATAAAATAAAGTGTAAAATTTGTAAAATTTGCAGTTTTGCAAGTTTTTTTTTAAAATATTGGTGCTACTATAAAAAAGTGCATTTTTTTAAAGGAATGTTACATATTTTTGTCTTTAGCATACATAGAAACTAAAATCATTTTTGCAAGACAGTACACCAAGTGTACCCAATCCGTGCTGCACTCTATACCGCACTTATTCCAAACCTAGACTGCACCTATATCAACCCTATACCGCATTATACCGAACCTTTACTACATTTGCACCACATCTACCTTGTACCTGTGCTGAGACTATGCTGCATGCAAGTTAACTTGGACTGTTGTTAAGTGCACCAATGCTCTTAAAGGACCCCGATAGGCGGTAGAACATCTCAAAGGACTGCCCTTCCCGTTGTAATTATTCTACAAGCCCCCTTTGTTCTCCCCTCTACCATCCTCCTTTTCTTTTCGACAGTGCATACCCTGTTGGTCTAGGATTAGTATCACTGATATAAATATGCTCTGGCAGTATAGGTCCAGCGCTCAGTAGAATAAACTTTACTACTGCTCACTTCTGCACTTGAGGTGGCATTGCTACTGTTTATGCTGATCTGGATGTCAAATGTCATCTTATGCCTTGTTTTTACTGTTAATCACTTTGTTTGCTAAATTGTGTTATCACCATTGTTAATCCATTTTATGCTTGCCTAGTTACCAACCATATTTTGGTACCAGTATATTAGGTTTGCCTTTACTACCTGGTTTGGTGTCTGTTTTCTTTGATATAACACTACTGCTGGGTACTAAGTATTACCAGTGATTTCCTCTGATGTTGTATGTTTGTACACTCAACCTGGTGTGTAAGAGTGGCTGAGGATTTTCAAAAAGCAAGCCAAATGCAGCCAAACTTCTCCCCATGTGCATAGTCCTAATGTACTTTTGCAATAGGTACAGTTGTGTCCAAAATTATTCAACCCCCACTGAAATTGAGTGTTTTGGCCAGTTTGACATTGCTTTTGATCATTCAGTCATCTTGCTTACATTTACATTAAAGAGGCACTTGTAGGTCAGACAAATATAACATAACAGTTATAATGAAATAACCACAAATGTCTTTTCTGTGCTCACAGCATTATCAGTTTTATTCAACCCCCAAGTGACATTCAATCTTAGTACTTAGTACAGCATCCTTTTACAGTTATAACAGCTTTTAAACGTGAAGCATAGCTTGACACAAGTGTCTTGCAGCGATCTACGGGTATCTTCGCCCATTCTTCATGGGCAAAGGCCTCCAGTTCAGTCACATTCTTAGGCTTGCGCACTGCAACTGCTTTCTTTAAGTCCCACCAGAGGTTCTCAATCGGATTTAAGTCTGGTGACTGCGATGGCCACTCCAAAATGTTCCAGCCTTTCCTCTGCAACCATGCTCTAGTGGACTTGGAGGTTATCTTTGGGATCATTGTCCTGTTGAAAGGTCCAACGTCTCCCAAGCCTCAGGTGTGTGACGGACTGCATCACGTTTCCATCCAATATCTCCTGGTACTGAAGAGAATTCATGGTTACCTTGCACACGCTGAAGCTTCCCTGTACCTGCAGAAGCAAAACAGCCCCAAAGCATGATTGACCCTCCACCATGCTTCACAGTAGGCAAGGTGTTCTTTTCATCATAGGCCTTGTTCTTCCTCCTCCAAACATAGCGTTGATCCATGGGCCCAAACAGTTCTAATTTTGTTTCATCAGTCCACAGAACACTATCCCACAACTTTTGTGGTTTGTCCACATGGCTTTTGGCATACTGCAGCCGACTCTTCTTATTCTTTGGAGACAGCAAGGGGGTACGCCTGGGAGTTCTGGCACGGAGGCCTTCATTACGCAGTGTGCGTCTTATTGTCTGGGCTGAAACTTCTGTACCCACATCTGACAAATCTTTTCTCAGTTCCTCAGCAGTCACACGGGGACTTCTCTCCACTCTACGCTTCAGGTAGCGCACAGCAGTCGAAGTCAGCATCTTCTTTCTGCCACGACCAGGTAGCGTTTCAACAGTGCCCTTTGCCTTGAATTTGCGAATGATGCTTCCTAAGGTGTCTCTTGGTATGTTTAACATCTTTGCAATCTTCTTATAGCCATTGCCCTTCCTGTGAAGAGAAATCACCTCTTCTCTTGTCTTCCTGGACCATTCTCTTGCCTTCACCATGTTTGTAACCACACCAGTAAATGTCTAGAAGGAGCTGAGTATCACAGTCATTTTAAAGCTGCCTAATTGGTGCTTATTATGCTTGATTGCTGCTCGGTGACATCCACAGGTGTTTTCAATACCTGATGGAAAGCACCTGTATGAACCTCTGTTCTTCAGAGTGGTAGTCTTTAAGGGGTTGAATAATTGTGGGCAATGAAGAAACCACATAAGAACCATTTACTACTGTATTACATAAACAATTGATGTCATTTTAGTTGCATTTGGGTAGTTACAACGTCCTTGTAGGATTTGATTCTGAATACAATTCCAAAATGTACACTATAGTCCCTAAACCCCTTTACAGCATTGGGGTTGAATAATTTTGGACACAACTGTATACACCTCTGTACACCTCAAGTTTAATTACAATCCTTGGGTCTCTCTTTAGCCTTGGGTCTACCAACACGGAGATCCATGTTTTGTCTACAATGCTTGAAACCGAAAACACTCCCTCCATCAATGTATACATGATGTAGATGGGGTTTCTTTAGCGTGGCCAGGTAAAAGAAGGTGAACTCCATATACGCCAGATAGCCTTTGACTGAATGCTGAGCTGGGCTTTGTAGGATGCTGGGCAGTGTGAGAAAAAGGCTGTCTTCTGTGTATGAGTATTATACTTACTGACTAGGGCTTTGATGCACACGTGGAGCCTTGTGATGACTTCTAGAGTGACGTTGTATTTGAATATTGTAATCAGCTCATCTTGGTACTTTATTCCAATATCATTAAAGTAACTGCATACATGTAATCTACCTACTTTGTCCTTGTGAAAAAATCCCATCAGAGTGAAACTGAGAGTGTGATTTTTTTGGGTGGAGATTACATGTATGTGGTAGCTTTATTGCTATTAGAATAAAGAACCAAGATGAGCCGATTACAGAGTGCAACTCTCATATTCTTGTATTCTTACAGTATGTTGGAGTGAAGACAGACTCTAGTAGTCAGCACCCAGATGGTCTGTGAATGTTAAGAGGTAGAGGTTTGGAGCAGTGCCATGGATTTTGGTATACTGTTAATATATTAGTATATGTTTAATCTGGCCCAATCTCTAGCGCATTTTGTGTGTGTGCAGGCTTCCCATCAGATGTGAGCACTACACTGTGGATCCAGGGATTGAACAATATTTCTCTTTTTCTTTGTGAAGGTAGAGAGTGATGGACCATTTACTTAAAGTGGTTGTAAAGACTGAAGATTTGTTTTCCTTCATGCATTCTATACATGAAGGTAAAAAAACATTTTGCTTGCAGAAGTCCCCCCCAACCCCCCTAATACTTACCTGAGCCCCATCAGTAGTGACGTGCAGGAGAGCCTCAATTGTCCAGGAACTCTCCCTCCTCATTGGCTGAGACAACAGTGGGAGTCATTGGCTCCCACTGCTTTTAATCACAGCTAGTGA